AAGACAAGAACACATTTTCATGAAATGATCTTCTTTGTTGGTGCAGAAGTGTAGTTTGCTTTACAGAGTTTCTCATAACTGATGAGTCAAGTTCATATCAGATGATCTAAAAAGAAATCCTGAGAACTACCCAAATCACAGCTAACCAACTCCACCTCAAGAACCAGGAGCTAGGTAGAGGCCTTTTTCCTTTCCTGTCATTATTTTGGGACTGAAACCCTCCTCATTCCATCCCACGACCACGTCCCCTGCCTCTGAACTGTCCTTGATGGAAACCTTGGCTTCTGCCCCTGCCTAAAGTCAGTAATTGTAATGTCATTAGCTTAGTTTCCGTGGATTCCTTTTTCTTTTCCTGGCAGGTTGTACAGTGATTTGCAATGGTGACTAGTTCTGCAAGTGGCTTAGTCTGCCAACCTACAGCAATAGTGCACAACTGTTCCTGGACTTTAGAAAGAAGTCCATGGACAAAAGCGGAAGCAAGTGCTTCTGGGGTAGTTTCAGCTGCATTTTCATGGCCCTGGATCCAAAGCCCTGTGTGTGGGGGGAGGGGGAGTACCCACACATGACTCATAGCCCGACACCTGGCACAGATCCACAACCTTAGCTAGCCTAGCTTCCCTGGATGGACCATGTCCTCTGAAGTGTTAATAAAACCACTCCTTGGCGCAGGTTGGGTGAGGGGGTTGGTGTGAACCTACAGGAGTCTGTGGCTTTTTGGTGGGGGGGTCAGTATGAGGACAGTTATCAAGACTGGAATACAGACAGTTCAAAAGTAAAGTGATAAGTCATAACTGAATAGACACTGAAATACAAATAGAAATACATTCATAGAAATAGAACAGACATACAACAGAACAGAATTGATTACCAGAATATAGAATAGAGAGTACTAATAGAATAGATAATATAGAATATATTAGAATATGGAATAGGAGTAGGGTAGAATATAGAATAAATTAATGAAAGCATGTTTATATTGCTTCTGCAGGTTTTCTATTTTCTATTTATTTATCCGTACATGTGTACAAGTACTTGTAGTTACCTAGTTACCTATTTATTGATTTTGTAAGCAAGTTATAAAAGCCAGATAATGCAAATTTATATTTTTATATCTTTGTTTTTGCAACAATATTATTATTTGATTATACTTTTAATGCTATATCCAAGTAAAGTGTGAAAAATATTTTCAGGAAGAAAATAAAGGTGTCAGTTTTATACAGTTATTACTGGATGTGCTGTGATGCAACTACATGCCATGCCGCTCCTGGTGAAACAGCTCCATGACATGCCGTGCGCCCTGCCAGCAGGTCCGACAGCAAGCTGGGTGGGGAGTGGGGGCTATAGCCAGTTATATCTGTCCCAAAATTGCACAGAGCCATGCTTACAGCCAGGTGCATCTGGGCAGGTATTCACAGCATCACACTGCAGCTGCTGCAGGGGTCTCCATGGAAACCGGCCCAAGACACAACTGCGGGGGATGCTGGGAAATGTAGTCCTTAAACAGAAAAAAGAAAATGGATGAACAAGGCTCTTACTCCCCACCCCAATGCTTACCATACTGTGGTACCCTGTGGTGTTGGTGGTGCACACAGCACCACCACCACCACAAATATTCTACATCCTTCCCCCATGCACGCCCACCAGAACCATGGAGGAGGATGAGGAGCAGCAGCAGCAAATGGTAAGTTCACAGCTGACTGGGGGTGGCACCTCTTGTTAGTACTTCAGTACTTCAAGATAACTTTCACATGTCTTATAATTGCATTTCAGATACGCAAGGAACAGCAAGGGAAGGCACTGCATGCCAGACGCACCCCCTGGGATACGCTCCATCCCAAGTAATATATAGGTAATGTCAGAAATATCCTACCAACTTTGCATCCTGAAAGGGGGAGGTGAAGAAGGTGGTTTTGGGACTATGGGCCAAAACCAAAATTCTTCTTTCTTCTGCTGCAAAAGATTGAGATCAAAAATAGAAGCAAAAAATAATGCATGAAAAGCAGAAGACATAGAATAAGAGAATAATGAAGGAATAATAAGAGACTAGATTAGAAATGGGTGGATGGATGGATGGATGTAGGTATGTAAAAAGAATAAAAAGAAATAAAATTTAGGTAAATAGAATATAGAGTAGAAATAGAAATGTATAGATAGTATCAATAATATAAATGATTTATGTTTTATATTTTATTTTTTGTATTGTTTTTATAATATTTTATAATGTTTTATAATTTTATAATGATTTTACCATGTTTTTATAATATTTTTGTTTTCATAGTGCCCTTCTAATATGTTTCATACTCTTTTATGTTTTAGAATGTTTGTTTTTATTTTTACTTATATTTCTTATTTATATTTATATTTTATTTATCTTTATATTTTTATATTTATTCATTTTTTCATTTATTTCTTTACTTATTAAATTTGTTTACTATATTTTTTTTGTAACAATATATAATCATAGCCTTTAAAAAAATTAAAATAAAGATTTGAAATAAAGATTTGGCATGTTTTCTTTTATAGGCGGAATGGTGTGGGAGTTCACATGGTTTGGGGGTGTGAGAGAGGATGCACGCTGTTTGTTGTGGAGATCCCTGCCTACCACAATGGAGCACCCACAGTGATGATAGTTGGGAGTGCTGGGTGGGGGCTGGGGGGATGCAAGGGGCAGGATGCCTACGTGGGTGGGTGGGGGAAGCTGTGCAGCACTGGCATAGGGCGAGGAACGTGGCAGGACAGAGGGGGGCTGTGTGGTGTGGGAATGGGGGATGCATGGTCTGGGGGTGCAGTAGGGGTATGTGGATAAATGGCTGGGGCTGGGACACTGACTGTAGGCATGCATGGGGGCAGAGCAGGGGTACAGCATGCCTGGAGGGGTAGAGCAGGGGTAGAGCATGCCTGCAGTGGTCCAGGGGTTACTGGTTTGAGGGCGCCCCCTGCAGTAATCAAGTAGCTAAGAAAGCAGTGGGGTGGATTGGTGTGCAGCTCCCCCTGGTGGAATTTAATGAGAATTGCACACCAGGCTTAATTGATTGCAAAGGCTATTGCATGGAAGCATTGATGCAGTGTTTTAAAGTAAACAATTTTAAATTTAATAAACCTATTTAATTTAATGAGGATTAAACCCCATTACATGTACAAGTGCCCATGTATCTCACAAACAAATATCTCTGTCATTGGGGAATCTCTTATGTCTTGACACATGTAGGTGTCAGAATTTTGACCTCTGTAATATAAGTATCTATTCCTCCTTCTGCTTTGTAGGTTAAAAAATAGTATCTCTCTACAAGAATCCACATTCCTGCTTGGTCACAGTAACCAATCAGCTGTTCCTGTGTCACAGGCACCTCTCTTTTGCAAGTATTTCATTCCTTGCATTTTTCCCTCAGCAGTATAATAAGAAACTTGTACCTTCATTTTTTTCACTTTGGTTCTATTGCGTTCATGCCTGTACAGAGCTTTTAGCCTGAAAACTCAGTATTCCTATGGTTTGAGACCCTCAATATTGTGTTGTAATGCTTCTAGATGTTGCTTTATTTTCATGCTAATCATGTTATGTTCCTTGCTGTAGTTCTCACTAGACTGACTCCTGATTCTTGTACCGCCTGCTGGGTAATATTACGAAACAAGTCCATGTTTCTGAAAGTGAAATTGCTCTTTTCAGAGTTGTATACAAAAATCATGCAACTACAGCTAGCATCCTTGTTATACTTACGCAGACTTTCTAGGGCAGCCTCTAGTCTCTTCCTTCCTGCTACTTGCTCTTCTATCCAAGTTCTATTAGGTTGCTACAGAACCAAGCTTGAAGAAAAAATCATCATAATCAATGAAAGTTTCATAAACTTATGTGCAAATGAACAAATTAGATTACAATGGGAATACAACCTTAACTGACGTTGTTCATATACAACTGAGTTGTAATTATATAACAGTTGAATTTACCATCTAATTTGGTCTACTTTTGTAACATGCTTGCTGATTTCTTTGTTTTGAACAGATGATGAACCAGATGATGGTGCCCAATTTTACTTCATAATTTTGGGTTTCTGCTATCCTCAGCTATTACCTGTGTTAACTGAGCTTGGGGTCAATATTTCAAGTGTAATTAAGATTTCCTCAGAGAATTATGGACCATTGCAAACATACTTGGAAGCAGCTACACTGCAAGAAGAACCATTACATCCACCTGAAGGTAGGCTACCAATAGGAAAAAATGTCATTATTAAATACAGTTTTTAAAGTTACTTTATGTTTTTTTCACATTTCATGTGGCATCTGAAAACGTATGTTCTCTTTTTTAAAAAGTTACAAATAGTTATGTCTACAGCAGGAGGTCACCTCAGTGTATATGTTACCCTTTAGTCAAGCTATTTGGTCTTTGAATTTTGTGGCCACAAATGCTGATAGCTACTGTATTTACCTAAATCCAAGACTACTTCCAACGTTAAGGTGACCCCCCAATACTTAGATTGTAAACATGAAAAATTTAAATTATAACTGTGTCAGGGCACTGTGTCAGGGCACTGCTGGGCTGAGCCAATCAGCCAGCAGGTGCTTGATTGCAGTGGCCATTTTAGGTCTCTGGCCACCTATATAAACAGAGCAGTTTGCTGCTGCCAAGCCAGGCAGTAACATCACCTGGCTGCAAGGCTGAATGCAACATCCTGAAGATAAGGGCAGGAGCTTAAGAGGATGGTTTGAAGGCTCCTGGTACTGGGCATGACCTAAAACTGCACCCTGCTGGGAGTGGGTGGCCCAGAAACAGGTGTTGGCCCAGAAAAAGGTGGGCAGGCCAATGACAGATTGGCCCTGAGAATGCCTTCTCTTACAGTAGTTAAGTTATATAATTACGTTATTAAGTTAAATAAGTTATACTCTTCCATGTATAGAATTTAATATGATCCTCCAATAATTAAATTCCACCCCCTACCAGTGTGGCAGGGCAAGCAGCAGCAAGGGACAGTGATAAGGGAGCAGATGGCAGGGGAGTCAAGTGGCCTGAATGCTGCCCTCTTTCCGCCACCACCTGTTCTCCCCACCATTTGCACCCCTCTTCCCCCCACTTATATGCCCCGGTGCCTATCCTCTCCCCCTCACCACAGTGCCTACACTCCACGGCATCTGCCTCCCCACCAAGTCTTGTTTCCCTTGCAGACTGCTCCCTCTGCTGTGCTTGTGCCTCCCCCCCGCCCACACACACACATGCACACACACCTTACCCCCTGCCACTTGCTGGTTCCAGCCCCTGCCCAGGCATGCAGCAGCTCCAGAGCTGGAGCTGCTGCCAGCACTACTACGACATGACTGGAGCACAAATCAAAGCCAGAGTTGGAGCCACAGCCAGCTGCCAGCCCTGCCTCACCCCGCACTTGTATCTGAATCCAAGATCAAAGACAAGGGGCTTTCCCCCCCATACTGAATGGAGGGGGAAAACCTTGTCTTGGGTATGCATAAATATGTTAATCTGCCTTCTAGTTAACATAACATAGTTTGTGAAATCATAGCTAATACAGATGGGAGATTGACTATAATATTTCCTTGGCCAATATTTATAGAAGAGATTCAGCAACATTTACTTAATTTTCTTCCTCGTTCTCTTATTTCCCCTATGAACTGATAGCACTTAGACTACATGTCAGAATTACAGGTGTAATACAGTGCTAGTGTAGTTCAAACCTCCAGTTCAAAATTTTCAGTGAAAGCACAGCAAATTCTTCAAACATATCTATGGAGCCTCTTAAAATATTTATCAATTACAGAAAGATGAGCTCTTTAATAGAGATAAAGTGCAAGTGTCATGACCGGCTTCATTAAAACAAAATTAGATTTTTATGTTGCAGTGGAGTGATGTAGATGTGATGTTTAAGGAAATATGCAAGAGAAAAGGGATTTTGTGGGAGGTATTCTTTATTGGACCACCTACTCAATTGGAAGAGAGTTAGAAAAGCTTTCAAGTACAAAATAACATTCCTTGGGTTATGATTTTTCATTTTTGTTTATGAAAAATTCCTTAATTTGAAGCAGAACTTATCACATAAAGTTCATAATCTATTCATTTGGGGATGGAGCCACCTTATTGTAAGACAGAGGCAATAGCGACTCCCAGTTTGCTGGAATACTTGATTTCAGTTGATTCATCTTCCAGAAGTACATTGAGTCTGTGCAAAACAGAGAACTGAAGCTCTCCCTCAGTATTCCAAATCAAAGGCTTATGGAGATATTCTAAAGCATCTATCCCTTGTTTGCTACCTAATTTGACACTGAAATCCCAGTCCTAGGAAGTCCATAGTGTAACTTGAGGTTTTGTGATGCATTACAATGTTAGGTTAGGTCTTTTCTTCCAATTTTTTGTACTTGGGATTACATTTTTGGTAAAATCCCAGAAGTTTTTTTAGTCTTTGCAAACACATTCCTATTAAATAAATAAAATATGTTAAAGGCCACACAATCCAGAAAAATGTAATTTTCTAATTTTCTACTTTGTTATTTTTTTTATTAGTCTTATATAGTAGGTAGGTATTAATGCAATGTCTTCCTTCATAATGAGGCAGAGAGAGAAACCAACTAAATAGCTGCAAATAATTTTTTTTGCAACTATTTAGTTGGTCTAATAAAAGATACCACCTCTACCATGAGTTCTGAAAAACTCTTTCACACTTTCAAAATTGTATTAACTATTAATTCTCTTTTATGTGACTAGAAAGCCATTTGCAGAATAGATTAAGATGGATTATTTTAAAGTTGTACCCAAAAGACACTTGAGTGAAAACCTGACAGTGGCAAGATTTCCATTAACTTCAGTAAAGCCAGGATTTCAACCTCTGAGTTCAGTCGAGTCAGATAATTTCTATTACCTTGTTCATAGAGATGCATCTAATAACTTTTTCCAGTTGTATGATGTGCCTCTAGGAATATTAACTTTCCTCCTCTTCTAAAATTTCTGCAGCTGTCAAAGTCTCATACTGAGCTGTCTTCTGTCACAGTGAGTAATATAGTACAGGAAGGGACCCCTTCATAATTAATGTAAGAAAGTGATCAAGCTCCACCTTAAAAACAGTGTTTGGGTTTTTGCCTTCTCTTCTGTATTTAGGAGGGATGTGCTAGCTCTGTAGTTAAGCTATTTTAATATAGAGAAAGAAGTGAGATGTTGACCCTTGCTTCAGACTCATGCTGAAAATTGACCCCAGTCAACCCAGCTGTAAATAACCATTTATTATTTGAATTAGGGAGTCAAATGTGGCCAAAAATAATGTTATCCACATTACTCCTTGTCGCAGGGCACTTCCGTGCCCCGCTCCTAGGGAGACTTGAACTTAAAGGGGAAGGTGTGTCGCAGGGCATTGAAGTGCCCTGCTCCTAGAAAGAAGGACAGGTGCCGGTTGCCAGGGCAACCGCAGTTTGGTCAGCTGACCAGAAGGGGGCAGGGCCTGGCCTATATAAACAAGGCAGGCTGAGACCAGAGGCAGTTCCCATCTGGCCGCCGAGGAAGTTGGAGCTCTGGTGAAGCAAGCAGAGCAGAGTAGCCCGATGGCCTGAACAGCTTCCATGTGAGGAGACCGGGTGGAGGAAGCCCCGGGTGGGGATTTGGGATGATAAATTGCCAGATGGCTTAGAGGTTACTTTTTAGCCAGGAGGCTTAGCTTTGAGTTGGAGCAGATTGGCTCATGTTATTGCATTCTGTTGTTTGTTGTTAGACCGGAGGACCGGGTGAGGCTATAAGGGGTTGGAGGAGGCCTCATGGGGCTCCACAGTGGTGTGGGGACCCTGGTGCCAGAGAGGGCACAGCATTAAGGGGGTGTTGACCTCAGCCCTGCAAAGGGGCATAGTGGATTGGGGCCAGGTAAGGCCGAGGCCGCCTGAGCCCACAGGAGTTGTAGATCCATGGAGGGGATTTAGGGACCAGGCACAGCTATGGCCACCTGAGCCCCAAGCGCAGAGATAGGCCCCAGTGCAGGCGGAGCCCAGGGAGGGCACACAGCTGAGAAGCCCCAGTGCAGGCGAATGTGAGAGAAACCCCAATGCGGGCGGAGCCCAGAGGGGGCGCATAGGTGAGGAGTCCAGGGAGGGTGCGCGCCTGTAGATGGGAAGCCGCAGGGAGGGCGCACAGACTAGAGGCCCCAGGTAGGTGAGGAGCCCAGGGAGGGCACGCGCCTACAGATGGGAAGCCCCAGGGAGGGCGCACAGACGGGAAGCCCCAGGGAGGGCGTGCGCTTAGGACTTAATCACGAGGTTAGACCCCAGTGCAGACAGGGTTGTGAGTGAAAGTCCAATCGCGAGAGAAGGCCCGGTGTGGGCTTGGCCGCGAGAGAGGCCTGGGAGCATCCATGGGGAGCGCGGGCGACGGTAAGGAAGGAGAGGCCAGAAAGCGTCTGTGAGGACGCAGGCCATCTGAGAAATTGACTAGACAACGTCTGGGACATCCGCGAGGCTTGGGGTGTGGTATCAGGGGTGGTAGGAGCCACACGTAGCCCTTGAGGTGGGAAGGCACCAAGTCACCGTAGATGGGGCACAGACTGAAGTACGTCAGGGGTACCGTGTCAAGGAGGATAAAAGGCAGCCTCCCTTAATACTCTTATCATCAAAGACGTGGCGGGCAAGAACGAGGGTGTATTGACACCTACTTGGTGCGGTAGGGCGGGGCACTAGGAGAGATCATGGCTGCTCTTGGGACCCCGCCCTGTGACACTCCTCCATGTGCTATAGGCCACAGAAGCTGACATGGTTTTACTGTGCTATCCTGATGGGCTATTGAAGCTTAAGTAGACCCATGATTCTCTTTGAATGCATCTACACCAGATGTTTTACTGCACAGTAGACAAATCTAGCACTCTTGTAGACTTTGTGGAGGAAATTTGCTCCTGGTTAGCCACACAAACAGGAGGCCACAGGGGATGAGAGAGTTCACTGTCTCTAGCCCTGGTACTGCTCAGCTCCCAGCTCCCCACAGGGATGGGGTTGCTCGCTGCCACCACCATCGCAGTACTGCACAGCTCCCAGCTCCCCACAGCAGCTAGGAGCCAAGAAGCCCTGGTAGGGGCTGCACCCACACACCCAGCCAGATTTTGCAGAGAATTCATCTCACCTTTCAACATGCAGATGAAGTGTGCTGTGCCAACCTGCTCCCATATCAAACAGCAGCTGGTACTGGGAGCTGAGCACTTCTGAAAATCCTGCCCTTGTACTGCAGCATAG